CTTTATAAAATTGCCTGAGCTAGGTAGCCGCAAAAACACCATTAATGGTCCAACAAAGATTTGCCAAAGCAGAACAACAGACATTGAGCCGATACTGGCCCATCAGTTGTAAAGTCAAATTAATAATGATATAAACATGATATAAACAAGAGTTTTGCGTTTACTGCGCAGAATTTTGCATCTATCTCGAAGTTTGATTTTTTCATTTTTAAAAACAACTATATCTTAAAACTTTATTGTTGAAAAAAATACTTTCAGGTGATTTGTAGTAGATTATTCCCACCGCCTGAATTATTCCATCCCCCTATGAAAAACTCAAAACGAGATTGCGCTTTCGGGTTATAACTGTTAGAAGTGTACCTAAAACGTCCGTACTACCTTTGTAAACATAAACAAAGAGAAAAAAACGTTAAGATGACAAGAATTTTAGAAATAAAGTTTACATAAAAGTAATATAAGAACGACGATATAAGAAAGTGTCGTAATGATAGAAAATAAACAACTATATACTAATTGGTTATTTATTTGCATGAAACTGTTTTACAAATACTTTTATTATATAACAGTATATGTAGACAGATAAAAATTATATCTCTCTGAATTAATACCTATCCTTTATAAATCGCTCAATGTAAGACAATCTGATCTTTATTACTGTATAATGATTAAAATTCTACAACTATAAAATATTTAATAATTAGTTGATAGTTGTATAATTTCTGTTTAAACTGAATAAATTAGTTATTTAATTATGTAAAATTAATTTACAAATATCTGTCTGAGTTATACCCTCCCCCTGAGTAAATTACTAAACTTGCCTCTGAATGATTTCCTTTTTCCTAGCTAATCATTTAATGATGCAATTTGAGTGATGCAATTTAACTATTTATTGAGTGCAATAAATAGTGAACAACTATAAACTTTTAGTTATATATTTAATTAAATATACTTTAAAAAAATACATCTTTAAGTTTCAAAATTATTACTTTCTTTTAGTAAATCGTTTAAAGTAAGATGGTGAAATAATGGCATGAAGTGATAGTTATCGGAATTATGCAACTTGTATATCAATAAGTTATAAAATTATGTAAAATATATCAATAACTTATAAAATTATGTAAAAATGATTTACAAGTATAATGTCTGAATCATCACACCCCCCTAAGTAAATCATGCAATACAAAATGTTTGAATCTGGTATTGAGTGATATAATTTATTTTTATATTTTACAGTAATTGGAAATTTTTAAAGCTTTTGATATTTAACTTGTAGGACTTTTATTTTCCTATAGGAACATAGAATAAAAGTGTTATTAGTAAAGTTATTAGTCCAACATATCATTATTATTTTAGCCTCATTTAAAGATATTGTGATGTTATATTGGTTTTTGATTTTTTTCCAAACTAACGCATATTAATTTTCTGATATGTATATATGTTTTTAAGTTCTATGTTAGCTATTTCATATGTTCTACAAAAACTAGTATTGATTTTTTTATATTTTTATTTAAAAAATTGTTTGTTTTGTGCAAATTGAAATGTATTTCTTTATTTAATAAGTTTTTTTTTGTCTATTTGTTTTAGTTCGACGACAAGGTTTTGCTCTACTTCATTTTTTATGTTTAATTTGACTACTGTTGAAATATGGTTTTAATTTAGTAAATTTTCATGAATTGAAATTTACTTTATTAATCATTAGCCAACAGTTTAGGTAAAAAAATTGAATTCATTGCAATCAAGGTAAGAATAACTTTGTTTTTTAGTCACACCATTAAATAGTTTTTTGTATTTTATTATTATCGTGTCATTTCTATTTTGTGTAAATATATTTTTCCTGGTAACATAAGTTTATATTATACCTAAAGTAAAACCTATTGTTTGTTTATTAAGTTTCAGTAGTGGTGTAGTGGTAAAGCTACATAAGTCCAAAGTAGTACTACATTCAATTCGTTTCTTGGCACAGAGGCCTTGTTTGTCAAAGTTTGTGTTTAGGAGTTATTGAGAGAGGGTTTTAACCACAACTAAAAGTTGCCTCTTTAACTGTAGCAGCCTTTATAGCCTTGGAAAGGTAAAAAGCACACACAAAAAAAGCTCATTTTATGTAAATTAATTATTTTTAAACAGGTTTTAAATTAGGTAACTGCTGGTTATCTGTTTAATAACATCTGTTGCCAAAAAGAGTTCGGTTAAATAGAAAGGACACCCTTTTTTTTCAATATCTTTGCTTTCAACAAAGCTGCAATCAATCACTAATAGAGTTGGAAGTTACTGGAATAAGATGAAGTTTATAAAGCAAGATAATGATTGACATATGACTTTAAAGATTAGAAATTATATGAGTCAAAATAGAAACTGAAGCAGGTGAATTCCAAAGAACTGATGTTCAAAGAAAAAACTAGATGAATAAGTGTTTTTGGAGCACTTAGAAGCAGTCACAGAAAAAGGATAAGACTTAATGGAAAGAGGAATAGCATGAGTATTTGTAGAATTGAGAAAAAGAAGTAACATTACATCTGATAATGGTTAGAGGTTTGCAAGACCAGGTTCAACTATGTTTACATTGTGTTTTTGTACCTTGTCTGAAAGGAAAGAATATCATTTTAAGATCCACCCCTCCTTTCCCCAGATATGGCAACAGTATTCCATATAAGGACAGACTTTTATTTAACAAAACACTATTTATTTAACAAAATACTTTAAATCAAAAAATTGCAGCGTAAAAGAAGAAAAAACAGCAAAAGTGCAATAAAAATCCAATACTTTGGTCTTAAACTGTTACCATTACCCCAAGCCCATGATAAACATTCTCACTTTTGAAGATTTTAATAAATTATTAAATCAAAATTATGCAACAAGTTTAAGTAAATCACGCACTGACGTTAGAAAAAACTATAAATCTATGGCAGAGTATGGTTTTTATCTTATGCTAAATCTTGTAATTCCAATAAAAATAATTTTTTTTAATTACTTTTTGCAGTAGACGCCAATCACTTTCAATAAAAAAAATAAAACTTTTTTCAGATTAAAGTTTATTTTTTTAATTCAAGAAAAATGTCACTTGTTTAATTTGATTCAGCTTTTTTAAATAATTTTTGACTTGCTTTACAAGTACGAATTCAAAAAGATTGATACAACCCTCAAAAAAAAATCTTTATTTCATACAAACAATTATTTTTTTTCAAGCTTCTCTTGAAATTTTCAACAAGGTTATCTGAAACAAAAGTGTAATAAAAAAAAAAAAAAAACTATTAAATTTTTAAGGTTATGTTAGCTGAATTATTTTTAGGTTTAGTTACACAAAAAAGCAATGACATAATAATAACTATAAAAAACAGTTTTAGTGAAAAATACCAATAAAAGAATATGATACAAAAAACTATTTAATGGTGTGACCAAAGAACAAAGTTATTCTTACCTTAATTGTAATGAATTCAATTTTATTACCTAAACTGTTGGCTAATGATTAATAAAGTAAATTTCAATTCATGAAAATTTACTAAATTAAAACCATATTTCAACAGTAGTCAAATTAAACATAAAAAATGAAGTAGAGCAAAACCTTGTCGTCGAACTAAAACAAATAGACAAAAAAAAACTTATTAAATAAAGAAATACATTTCAATTTGCACAAAACAAACAATTTTTTAAATAAAAATATAAAAAAATCAATACTAGTTTTTGTAGAACATATGAAATAGCTAACATAGAACTTAAAAACATATATACATATCAGAAAATTAATATGCGTTAGTTTGGAAAAAAATCAAAAACCAATATAACATCACAATATCTTTAAATGAGGCTAAAATAATAATGATATGTTGGACTAATAACTTTACTAATAACACTTTTATTCTATGTTCCTATAGGAAAATAAAAGTCCTACAAGTTAAATATCAAAAGCTTTAAAAATTTCCAATTACTGTAAAATATAAAAATAAATTATATCACTCAATACCAGATTCAAACATTTTGTATTGCATGATTTACTTAGGGGGGTGTGATGATTCAGACATTATACTTGTAAATCATTTTTACATAATTTTATAAGTTATTGATATATTTTACATAATTTTATAACTTATTGATATACAAGTTGCATAATTCCGATAACTATCACTTCATGCCATTATTTCACCATCTTACTTTAAACGATTTACTAAAAGAAAGTAATAATTTTGAAACTTAAAGATGTATTTTTTTAAAGTATATTTAATTAAATATATAACTAAAAGTTTATAGTTGTTCACTATTTATTGCACTCAATAAATAGTTAAATTGCATCACTCAAATTGCATCATTAAATGATTAGCTAGGAAAAAGGAAATCATTCAGAGGCAAGTTTAGTAATTTACTCAGGGGGAGGGTATAACTCAGACAGATATTTGTAAATTAATTTTACATAATTAAATAACTAATTTATTCAGTTTAAACAGAAATTATACAACTATCAACTAATTATTAAATATTTTATAGTTGTAGAATTTTAATCATTATACAGTAATAAAGATCAGATTGTCTTACATTGAGCGATTTATAAAGGATAGGTATTAATTCAGAGAGATATAATTTTTATCTGTCTACATATACTGTTATATAATAAAAGTATTTGTAAAACAGTTTCATGCAAATAAATAACCAATTAGTATATAGTTGTTTATTTTCTATCATTACGACACTTTCTTATATCGTCGTTCTTATATTACTTTTATGTAAACTTTATTTCTAAAATTCTTGTCATCTTAACGTTTTTTTCTCTTTGTTTATGTTTACAAAGGTAGTACGGACGTTTTAGGTACACTTCTAACAGTTATAACCCGAAAGCGCAATCTCGTTTTGAGTTTTTCATAGGGGGATGGAATAATTCAGGCGGTGGGAATAATCTACTACAGATTCTATATTGCGTGCATAATAATTTCTAAATAAATTTTAAAAATTAATAATTATAAACGGAAATTTATGTTTTTTAAATAATTTCTAAATTAATCATTGCAATTAATTCTTTTGTAAAATAAATAAAGTTTCGTATAGGATGTGTTGTTACACTACAAATAACATAATGATCATTGTATTTTAACATTGTTTACATCAAACATTAAACATTAAATTGGTTTAATGTTTAAATTAGTTAAAGAAACTTAAAACCTAAGTTGGTAAAGAATTATAAAAACTAATTTATGGTAACTGAAGAGTGATTGGTATTGATAAAATAAAAAACTGATAGAAATGTTGGTTTGATAGAAAGAGAAATTTATAAAATGTATGTATAATATTGCGATTACTTAAGCAATTTTGCTTTATTTTATTATCTTTTTGTTGTCATATAAGTTCAATAGTTCTTTTTTTTTTTTTTTTTCTGTATACAATCTTATAGCATACTTTCTAGCCATTATCCTTTATCTGGCCATGATAAGTCTTAAGGTATATACCCCTCAAAATTCCTTAAAAATTCAAAAAAAATAATTTGTGTATTTCTTACACGAAATTTATCGCTGGATCCGAATTTGAAAACATTTTTTAAAAATAAGGCTTAGTTCTTGAGATATAAAAGGTTTCCTTCAACTGGGTAAATTTGATCTGCTTAGCAACACGCATAGCAACGGGTTTTTTATAAGAATTGCCAGCTATTTAGTTATTTTTGTGTTATTTAATAAACTTTTTTAATAATGGGTAAATTATGCAGAGTTAAACAAAGTACTCAAAGTAAAAAATCCAGAAGATTTCATGGAAATAGGTATAGCAAAAATTTGACAAACAATTCAACTTTATCAGTAGCTCCTGTTAATAACAATGTTACCTGTTCTGAAAATGACCTTATTTTCAATAATAGTTCATTAGATTTATCTATATCCTTGAAAAAAGTTGAAAAAATTGAAACACCACATCAAAGTAATAATAAAACTGTTGGTTATCGTATTATTGACATTGAAATTTTATCTGGTGTAATAATTAATTATGTTGCAAAAATTGTTTACAATCTGGATTATTTCTTGAAGAATGTTTTCCTAAAAAAAAAGGTTTTAGCTCGATGTTGAATATATGCTGCCCTAATTGCAACAAAAAATTAAAATTTATACTTCAAAGACATGCTCTGGGAAGAAAAATTTTGATGTAAATAATAGAATAATTTATTCTATGCGTGCATGTGGTCAAGGTTATTCAGGATTAGAAAAATTTACTTCTTTAATGAACATTCCTACACCAATGACTAAGAACAATTACAACAAAATAATTAAACATGTCTCTGATTGTGCTAAAGTTGTTGCAAAAGAAACAATGTCTGGCGCTGTTAAAGATATTTGTCAATCTTCTTCAAATATTGTTGATACTGCAGTATCAGTTGATGGTAGCTGGCAACGTCGTGGATTTTCCTCATTAAATGGAGTGGTTACTGCTATATCAATGGACACAGGTAAAATTCTTGATTGTGAACCAATGAGTCGATCATGTAAAGCATGTAGTTTAAAACTAAAACTTAAAGAAAATAACCCAAATGCCTTTGAAGCTTGGAAATCATCACATGTATGTAAACTAAATTATTGTGGCTCAGCTTCTGGAATGGAAGTAACTGGTGCTCAAAGAATATTTAGCCGTTCTATTTCACAAAATAAACTGAGGTATGTAAAGTATTATGGTGACGGTGATTGTAAAAGCTATTCGTATGTTAAAGATACTTATCCTGGTATAACAGTGTGTAAGTTGGAGTGTGTTGGACATGTACAGAAACGTGTTGGTAGCAGATTGCGAATTTTGAAAAAAAATGTAAAAGGACTTGGAGGCAAAGGCAAATTAACAAATGCTATAATTGATCGCCTACAAAACTACTATGGAATTGCTGTTAGAAAAAATGCCAATGATTTAGAAGGTATGAAAAAGGCCTTACTTGCAACATTGTTTCATGTTGCATCATCAGCTGAAAATAATTGGCATGCTCATTGCCCAGATGGCATCAATAGTTGGTGTCGTTATAAACAGGATAAAGCTAATTTAACGTCTACCTACAAGCCAGGTGCTGATCTTCCACTGTCAGTTGTCAGTCATCTAAAGCCATATATATATAGATTTATCTCAAGAAGAACTCTTAAAAAAATGCCTTCATGGTAAAACCCAAAACCAGAATGAAAGTTTTAATGGAATGATATGGCAGCGCATACCTAAAACAAAGTATGTTTCATTAACGCAGTTGGAGTTAGGAGTTTATGATGCTGTTTCAAATTTTAATATTGGAAGAAAAGCAAGCATACTTTTGTTTGAAAAGTTGAATATGATTCCTGGTATTTATACTCTCCAAGGCTGTTCAACCATGAACAAAAAGCGCTTAATTTTTGCAGAATATCAAAATCGGATTACAACTAAAAAGTGACAAAAAGTTATTCGTGGATACAAAAAAAAAAAGGATGATGCAGAGAATGATCAAGAAGGATATCTTTATGACCCTGGTTCATGTTCATATAAATAAAAGTTTTTCAATTGAGTATACGAGAGAAAATATTATGAAAATTTATGAATATAATATTCAAACGAGTTTTTCTCAAAAATGTAAATTTTTGACCTCCCGGCCATCCTATCTCATTAACCGTAAGTTAAATTTGTATGAAATTTTCACCAAATGTTTATTGCACCTGGTTGTACAATTGGAACTAAAAGTTTTTTAATGCAATCAAGAGTTTTTGATTTATAGAAGTTTCAAGTTACAAAAAAATCATTTTTTTAGTACGCCATTTTGAAAATTTCATTATAGATCAAGTACTAAGTTTTTTTAAATAATTTTAGTTCAGTTTGTAGATCAATATGTTATTAACCATATGCCTAAAATTCATAACCTACATGCTTTCAGTTACTGAGATAGCTTGGCCGGGGTAACTTAAATATTTTTAAATGTCGGCCATTTTGCTTAGTAGCCATGACAATTAATAAATTTATTTTTTATTTTTTTAAATCCTTTTATCTAGTTGTTTCTCAAGATAAAATTGTTTTTTTGTTAAAAAACTTTTTTTAATAATTTTTTTTATTGAGGGGTCTTATACCTTAATTCTGGAAATGCATCCCAAGCATGAAATGCATAGTTTTTAAAATAATTCACTTAAACACAGATATATATATATATATATATATATATATATATATATATATATATATATATATATATATATATATATATATATATATATATATATATATTAATATTCTGTTAACCAAACCAAAAGATAAATTTCTTTACAAAACTAGCTGTTTCGTGTACTAATTTTTACTCTGTCAATTTTTGGTAGTTCCAAAGAAAGCTGAAGATTTCTGAAGAAATCTGTTTTTCGACGCTAAAAAGAACCTACAAAAAAATTATCCAGTATTACATAAAAAATTTGCTTTCGGAATTGGGTCTTCAAGAGAGATTATAAAAACTAATTTATGGTAACAAATTAAATAAAATTAATGGTCTTGCAAAACAATTCCATGTATCACAACCGTACATATGCAAAATTATTCACAAAAAAACTAATTTTCGTTATCTTAAAAAAACTACAACACCTAAAAGAACACCAACTCAAAAAGCAGCTGTTCGTTCAAAATCTAGGTAAACTTAAAAAATGGATCGAGTTTTCAATTAAGAAAATCAACATAGAACGTGTACATCGGATAGCAGCCGCAACATTTACAAGAGTAGACACCGTTCGTCGTCATGGCATGAAAAACTTATAACTTTTAAAAATTTTATTATTTAGATATTTTTTGTTATTATACTTTTTAAATTATTAAAATTGATCATTCCGTTAAAAAGTTATACAATTTCTAATATTGTCCAGATTTTTAGTTATCACTGTTATGAGAGCCCATATAAGTACAATAAACACCAAAATTTCAAAAAATATTGGGATACTTAAATCTATGTTATCCCAACATAATCTTAAATCGCTTTATTTTTCTTACATCAAAAGTTATCTTACGTACACTAATATTACATGGGCAAGTACACAACAATCCAAATTGAGTACTATTTACATAAGTCAAAAACATGCATCAAAATTAGTTTATAATAAAGATAAACTCACCCACGCTGAATCCTTACTAAAAACCTTGAATGCACTAAATTTTTACCAAATCAACATCAACCAAAATATACTATTTATGCTTAAATAAAAACTTGGACTTATCCCATCGCATTTTTTAGATAATTTCTTTCAAGTAAACTCTGATAGGTATATAACAATAGCAACAGGCAAGTTCTCACGGTTTTCTACCGGGGTCCGTACCTATATAACAAATCATATCCAAAAATATAGAACTTAAAGTATTAAATAATGCTGCCAACTAGAAAAATAAATTAAAACACCTCATACTTAATACCAACAATTATTTCAACTTGTATTAAACTTAACATTAAAAGTTTTACTAAAATATTTATGTGTATCACTGAATGTATATTATTTAACCACTTTTGAGTATATTTAAAAATAAATTAGACTTTATTTAACCATTTAAAGAGGTACTTGATGATAAGTCTTCATAGACTACGAGTTTTCCTTTACAACATTATGTATATATCTGAAGTAACAAATTTTTTTTTTTTTTAATTTGAGAACAAAAGTCAGGCAACTCTTATTACTTGCTTTCAAAAAAATTTGAAAGTTATTTTTACGGTTTACAGAAATAAACAGGTAAGTTTCATAAGTACAATATTTATATTTACAATAAAAGAATTTTTTCATATCTAAAAAGAATTTTGTAACATTTATCCAACATTATAAAAAACGCAACCTCGTTAAGTTAGAATAAGTAGCGAGAATAAAAGTTTATTACGACAATATTCCATCTCTAAATTGTGCATACATATTTATTTTCGATAGTTTCCAATCTTTTGAAAGTATTTTCTAACACGTCAGAATCCAAGGGTTAGAATCTAATGCGATCAACATTTCCTTTAAGCTTATTTTATTTCAGTCAAACTATTAAAAAAATGCTGCTAAAAAGTAATATGAACAAAATGGTGATTTATCTAAATAAAGATTAATGTAATAAACATTTTTATTATATAACTTGTCATAGATTTTACGTAATTTTAAAACTGTGAATTTAAAAAAAAAAAATTTCTATATAATATATATTATAACCTATATAATATATATTATAACCTATATAATATATATTATAACCTATATAATATATATTATAACCTATATAATATATATTATAATCTATATAATATATATATAATAATAATAATAATAATAATAATAATAATAAGGTACACTGTGACAACTGATGAAATCAATTGTGGAGCACTACAACAGAAGATGTTATGCTATAACAGCTATAAATGTTTTATAATAGCATTGTTTACTTTTCAATGTATATAGATATTATTTAGTATTTAATAAATAATTTTTGCAGTAATCTGATTTATCAAGTTTATTTTTGAATTGGTCAATTGTCATTGATTCGATAATATATGGTGGTAAACCATTCCAAGCATTTACGACTCTACAGGAAAAGAAATTATATCTATAACTGCTCTTACAATATGCCTTTGTTAACTTTTGGTTATGACTACGAAAATTGTAAGGTTTTAATTGAACTTGAGATGTCGAGTCGTTTATCCAATTTATTTTCTCATAACCGTTTTGTATTTTATATTGAAAAATAAGATCTCCTCATAAACGGCGTTCTTCTAGAGTTGTTAATTTCATTAACTGTAATCTTTTTTCATATGGCATTTTTTTAAAAGCTGGTACGAGTTTTGTTGCCCTTCTCTGTACTTTTTCTAACTTTAAGATGTCTTGCTTCAGACAAGGGCACCATGCTTGGATTGCAAACTCAAGATGCGGTCTTACAAAAGTTGTAATTTTTTTGTCATATTTGAGTCGAAATATTTAAAAGTTCGTTTAATAAGAGCAAGCATTTGATTTGATTTACCAACAGCTCTATCAATATGACTGGTCCATTTTAAATTAGATTGCATCATTACTCCTAAATCACGTTCTACTTTTGATGCTGCTAATATATTATTCTGTTGAGTTTCAGCGTCGAACATTGAATAAATTATACAAGGATTTTTAAAACCAATGTGCATAATTTTACACTTTTCATAGTTAAATTTCATTAACCATAGTGACGACCATTTCATAATATTATCAATATCTAGTTGTAATTTGTTTATACGGATATCTTCATCTGATATATATATATATATATATATATATATATATATATATATATATATATATATATATATATATATATATATATATATATATATATATATATATATATATATACATATATATATACATATATATATATATATATATATATATATATATATATATATATATATATATATATATATATATATATATATATATATATATATATATATATATATATATATATATATATATATATATATATATATATATATATATATATATAGAAGAAAAACGTTTAAAAAAGTGGATTTTTATTCACGGTTTCAAAAATAAAAAAAATATATAACATATTATATAATAAAAAATGTTTATTATGTTAATATATAGACTTTATTCCTATTTTATTTTATACACTTAGAGTAAGGGGCCATCCATAAAGGACGTCACCATTTTTTAGCCAATTTTTGACCCTCTCTCCCCCCCTTTGTCACCAGTTGTCCTTTTTCCCCATACCTCCTAGAAAAGTCGTCATAAAATCCTGACCCCCTTCCTATTTTTAACTTCATAAAAATTTATTTCATCTTACAATGTTGTTTGAATCTGCTGTTACACCTTTGAAAAATAAAATTAAAAATATTCTCATACATTATTTTCTCAAAAACACATGTTTACATAGCTTTCCATGTTAATTAAACTAAAATAAATAGTGACGTCCTTGTCTGACAACCTTCCCTCCCCTCCCCTTGTCTTTTTATGTTCTTTTTAACTCGACCCCTCCCCCCCCTCCCTATTTGGTTGTTGTCCTTTATGGATGGCTCCTAATGTCAACACCTTGAAGTTTAAAAAGTAATAATCTTTCAATTATCCGGAATGTAGAACTTTAGCGTGTCTCATTATCCAAAATTAAAACAAGCTTGTATTGCTTCTTTGCTAAAAAAATTGTATGTAAGTTTCTTAGTTTCTTTACAACATAACAAACTTTTCCTAAAAGTTAGACAATGTATGTTTTTTTTAAATCATACGAATAGCTAGCTGCAAAGTGTGAACAACACATCGCGTCAGCTTAATGTCAGTAGACACCATTCTGGGTTGATAAAGGCTAGTTTTTATTCCCGACCTCCTTCATTTTCTTTTTTATCCAGTTGTAAAAGTTCCATTTAATTTTAATCTTGCAAAGCTTAATCTCAAAAATTTTCATCACCTGAATATTTGTTTAAAATTTTGATTCTTCCAATCATATTGACTGCGTTGTCTACTCTTACACATACTATTTTATCATTGCTGATACAAAATCTATATAGAGTACTGATACCAAATCTATATAGATCCTCAGCCATTATTTTGATAGCAACAGTGTTGTGCTGCTTTTGTGTATCTATTAGTGCCAAAGTTTTTAAATTTTTTTTTGCATAACTATATTGAATATTTACTTCCAAATAGTTATTTTAGTGTCGAGTGGCTGCATCTGTTTTCACATAAATAAATTTCTGTAATAATATTCCCTTTATTTCAGTTTCTTTTCGGCAAATTTATTAATCAAATTGCGTATAAAATTGTCTCCAGTATTGAATCCAAGAGTTTTACCTAATTGGCCTGTAACCAACTGAAATCCTTCACCTGAAAAGTATTTTTAGAATTGAAATCTTGTGAATGTGATAAAATGATTTTGAAAATTTTCTTTGGGCCATAAGGCTCATTTCAGATTCAACAATTTTATATTCTGATAGATGTGGTTTTTCAAATGCTGTTTCATATTGTAAACTTTTGATATTTTTATTTGCATGGTGCAAGAAATCACTTTATCGTTTAGCTTTTCTGTAATCTTACATGTAACCAGTTTTGTAGTTTTATCAATTAAAAAATACTTATCTAGAAACTTCTTAGGATTGTTTGAGTTTGAAGCTATTTTTATAAAAAACTATAAAAATAAAGTAAATGACAAGTTTTAAAGATAAGAGAAATAATTAAAAAGATAGTATAAGCAAAAATAATATCAATGATATCAAAAAAAACGTTTAAAATCTTTTTCTATTTTTATTTGGAACTCACATGTTTAAATCTATTGTAAAATGGTTTCTAATAATTTTCAAACTAATAATGACTTAACACATAGATAACCTATTTTTTCTTTAAGGATGGTCCATAAAGTACGTACATAAAGGGTTGTACATAAGGTACGCTCGAATAGGGAAGAAGGTCAATTATGATAGTAAAGAGACAATAAATATAGTTATAAAAAATATCATAAAATGTTGAGTAAATAGGTTAAAAGGGTAGACACTTTTAGGGAAGTGTAGGGTACTCAAGAAGTGTAAAACAAAATACAAGGAGGAGAGGGAGAATAAAAAAAAAGGCTTACATATTTTATGGACGACCCCTTAACCAATCATTGATATTGTTTAGAAGTATTGTTTCAAAGTAACTTATCATACCCTATAATAAGAACTACATGGCAAATTACACAAAATAATTGGATAAAAATTAAATTCTGAAAAAAAATTGTTGTTTTCTTTTTTTAATAAACCATTTGAAAAAATGCATTACTTAGAATTTATAAACATTTAAATGAGCGTAATTG